GAGAGAGAGAGAGAGAGAGAGAGAGAGAGAGAGAGAGAGATTTCCTGTCATTGTCATGAAAAAGGATGATGCTAATAAGGTCATACAAAAGCCATACAAGGCCACACAAGTCCCACAAGTTCACACTAGGTCACAGAAGTTCAGAGGGGGCCACATAAGTTCACATAAAGTCCCACAAGTTCGAACAAGGTCACAAGTTCACACAAGGTCACAAAAGTTTACACAGTGCTTAAAAAGTTCACACAAGGCCATGCAAGTGCCTACAAGTCCCACAATGTCACAAAAGGTCACATAAGTTCACACAATGTCCCGCAAGTTCACACAAACCCACACAGGTTCACACAAGCTCATACAAGTTCACACAAACCCATACATATTCACACAAATTTATACAAGACCACATAACACTACATACCGACATAAATCCCACTCAAAAGTCTGTGAAATAATAGTTTAGTTATTCCTTGAAATATTCAGATCTTTTATTTTCTCTGATGCGAGTTAGCGTCGCTATGAAGAACTTGTAATTATTTCTCAATATTTTGTTTAATTTAATGGTGGAAACTAAATATAGAAATACTCAAATAACCTGAAAAATATGTTCCTAATATAACAGATAATTCTCCTGGGCCCTAAAATAGATAAAATATAGCATGCATTATGAGTATAAGAAATATTAGGTAAGTAGGTACCTAGGTGTTAAAATATAATATCTTTATTTACTACAAGTACATGTACAAGGTATACAGTCCTAGCTGACATTAATGACATACTACTATATAGAAAGCTCCTTGTTATGCTGAGCATCTCGCGCAAATAAGGTCAGTGTCCCAGGATGCGACCCACACCAGTTGACTAACACCCAGGTACCCATTTTACTGATGGGTGAACATAGACAACAGGTGTAAAGAAACACGCCCAATGTTTCTACCCTGGCTGGGAATCGAACCCAGACCCTCACCGCGTGAAGCGAGAGCTTTAGCCACCAGATAAATATCTGGAGTATACCTGGAGAGCGTTCCGGGTGTCAACGCCCCTCGCGGCCCGGTCTGTGACCAGGCCTCATGGTGACTCAGGGTCTGATCAACCAGGCTCTTACTGCTGGCCGCACGTAATCCAACGTACGAACCACAACTTGCCTGATCAGGTACTGACTTTAGGTACCTGTCCAGCTCCTGCTTGAAGACAGCCAGGGGTCTATTGGTAATCCCCCTTATGTATGCTGGGAGGCAGTTGAACAGTCTTGGGCCCCTGACACTTGTTGTATTGTCTCTTAACGTGCTAGTGACACCCCTGCTTTTCATTGGGGGGATGCTGCATCGTCTGCCGAGTCTTTTGCTTTCGTAGGGAGTGATTTTTGTGTGCAAGTTTGGTACTAGTCCCTCTTGGATTTTCCAGGTGTATATAATCATGTATCTCTCCCGCCTGCGTTCCAGGGAGTACAGTTCAGGAACTTCAAGTGCTCCCAGTAATTGAGGTGTTTTATCTCTGTTATGCGCACCGTGAAGGTTCTCTGTACATTTTCTAGGTCAGCAATTTCACCTGCCTTGAAAGGTGCTGTTAGTGTGCAGCAATATTCCAGCCTAGATAGAACAAGCGACCTGAAGAGTGTCATCATGGGCTTGGCATCCCTAGTTTTGAAGGTTCTTATTATCCATCCTGTCATTTTTTTGAGCAGATGCGATTGATACAATTTTATGGTCTTTGAAGGTGAGATCTTCTGACATGATCAGCCCCAGGTCTTTGGCATTAGTTTTTCGCTCTGTTGTGTGGTTGGAATTTGTTTTATACTCCGATGAAAATTTAATTTCTTGACATTTTCCATATCGGAGTAATTAGAATTTCTTATCATTGAAGTTCATGTTGTTTTCTGCAGACCATTTAAAGATTTGGTTGATGTCCTCCTGTAGCCTTGCAGTGTCTTCAGTGGAGGACACTGTCATGCAAATTCGGGTGTCATCTGCAAAGGAAGACACGGTGCCGTGGCTTATATTCCTGTCTATGTCCGATATGAGGATGAGGAACAAGATGGTAGGGGGTTGAGTCCTGTGCCTTGTGGAACAGAGCTTTTCACCGAAGTCGCCTCAGACTTTACTCTGCTGACTACTACTCTTTGTGTTCTATTTTTTAGGAAATTATAGATCCATCTACCGGCTTTTCCTGTTATTCCTTTATCACGCATTTTGTGAGCTATTACACTATGGTCACACTTGTCGAAGACTTTTGCAAAGTCTGTGTATATTACATCTGCATTCTGTTTGTCTTCTAGAGCATCCAGGACCTTGTCGTAGTGGTCCAGTAGTTGGGACAGACATGAGGGACCTGCTCTAAATTCATGCTGCCCTGAGCTGTGTAACTGATGGGTATCTAGATGGGTGGTGATCTTGCTTCATAGAACCCTTTCAAAGATTTTTATGATATGGGACGTTAGCGCTATCTGTCTGTAGCTCTTTGTTATTGCTTTACTGCCCCCTTTGTGAAGCGGGGCTATGTCTGTTGTTTTTAGTAACTGTGGGACGACCCCGTGTCCATGCTCCATCTCCACAGGATGTTAAAAGCACGTGATAGGGGCTTCTTGCAGTTCTTGATGAACACGGAGTTCCATGAATCTGGGCCTGGGGCAGAGTGCATGGGCATGTTATTTATGGCCTTTTCGAAATCATTTGGCGTCAGGATAATATCAGATAGATGTGTGTCTACCAAATTCTGTCTCTCTCTCATAAAAAATTCGTTTAGGTCTTCGACTCTCAGTCTGGTTAGTGGCTCGCTAAAAATCGAGTCACATTAAGACTTGAATAGCTCACTCATTTCCTTGCTGTCATCTGTGTAGAACCCATCCCGTTTTAGTAGCGGTCCAATACTGGATGTTGTTCTAGATTTTGATTTGGCCCTGGTTGTCTTCAAGAAGGCACTGGACAGGCACCTAAAGTCAGTACCTGACCAACCGGGCTGTGGTTCGTACGTCTGCTTGCGTGCGGCCAGCAGTAACAGCCTGGTTGATCAGACCCTGATCCACCATGAGACCTGGTCTCAGACCGGGCCGCGGGGGCGTTGACCCCCGAAACCCACTCCAGGTAAACTCCAGGCATAAGAAAAGAAATACTTTGGGTTTCTTTCAGTTTCATTTATGGCTTCTAGTGCTTCACGCGTTTCTTGACTCCTGTAAGATTCCTTTAGCTTTAGTTCGATGTTTGCTATTTCTCTGACCAGTGTCCCCTCAAGGAAGGTTCCTTGATGTTATGTAAAGTAAAAGGACACAAGTGCAACTAACGTGACATTTATTGTGGCAACGTTTTCGCTCTCCAGGAGCTTTATCAAGCCAATACGTATTGGCTTGATAAAGCTCCTGGAGAGCGAAACGTTGCCACAATAAATGTCACGTTAGTTGCACTTGTGTCCTTTTACTTTACATATTGTCGGTAATTCTACCAACTTTATTACATTCCTTGATGTTGGTGAGGGGCTCTTGATTTAGGGAATTGGATCTGTGCTCCAGTTCCCCGAATTAAGCCTGAATGCCTTCCACATCCCCCCCCCAGGAGCTGTATAATCTTCCGGGTTTAGCGCTTCCCCCTTGATTATAATAATAATCTGACCAGTGTCTCCCTACGTATTGCAGATAAATTGTCCTCTTGTAGCCGCTCTGTTATTCGTTGCCTTCGCTTGTATAAGGAGTGCCTTTCTCTTTCTAGTTTACAACTTCTCCTTTTCCTTAAGCCTAAAGGGAATAAGCCTTGAGCATACCTCAAGTGCCACAGATTTAAATTTTTCTAGACATAGGGTAGGATCTGGTTGCTTATCATCTTCCCAGTTTATATCATTTAGGATTGGGTTTTACGGGTCCCCCCTTATATTTTTTTTAATGAATTAAATTTTGGTGGGGGCTCCCATCGCCCCTCTGAAATCTTTTTGAAAACCCCCCCCGGGGGGTAGGGGGTGCAAAATAATATTAAACTAACTCCCCGTGACTGATCATATTTTGCAGCGGGGGTCCCCACTACATTCGGGACCTCTTTTATGTTTTTAATCTGAGATTTGTTTATGATATGATAATTTCGTATCAGATCATCATTTCAGTGAAGAGGGGTCCAGCTTTCTTAATTTTGAGGCTCTATTATTTGCGGGTTTAAGGTGTTTTTGGGTGCAGAGATTTAAATGCACATGTATGTGCGAGTTTTCATCTATTGCCCCGGGGTTATCTTGCTACATTATTGCTATATTCCTCAATTTTAGGGCCTTGGTTGAACCTCCAGGACAAGATGAGCAGGCAGGAGTTTAAATTTTCCTGACAGTGGCAATTTTCAAATGCGTTCCTGGAATTGTTGATTTGCATCCAGACTTGTATAAAACCCACAAGACCCAGGTTATAGAGGGAAAAAACCCACAAGTTGAAGAGGGACACTAATGAAAATACGGGAATCTCATTGAAGAAACGTTTCTCCACACGGTGGCTTCAACTGTAAGCCCCTGTGGGCGAAACGTTTCATCAATAAATTTTCCCTTGTTCGTGTCTCCCGTCTTACCCAGGGGTTAGTCGACTTGTGGGTCGCACCGGGGGCAAAGTTAAAAATAATTTGCCCGAAATCCCTGCATAACCAGGGCCTTTTCCCTATGTTTTTCATGAGTCACTAGATCTTGAGAAATGGGGATTATTTTTATTATATTATTATATATGAACCATTGCCTGGTTTATATTATTTTTATAACATATGCAGTTTTTTTAAAGCTTCTGAGTCAAATTTGGGTCAAATAATGCTCAGTAATGGGGGGAGGTTTGTTATTAATACTGTATGTCCTTGTGGGTTTGCGCTTTTTTTTGTTTTAATAATTATAATAATTGTTATTATATAAAAATCATGTTACCTCCATCTTTTTGGGGAGAGATATAACTATTCATTGTAAGGAATTTCAGTGGTTTCCCCACACTGAAGTAGTCATGGTTATGCAGGGGTTTTGATTTAAGCTTGGGCACTTTTTTCCCGGATCAAATTGATTGTGACCCGTGACGAGTTTAGCCCTTCCACGTAAATAAATTATTAGACACTCAGGCAAAGTGGCAAATACTTTCCATTTCCATTGAACAATGTAACTCCTGGAAGGATGTTAATAATGTATTTATGAGAAAAAGCTAAACCAGTAAGGATTATACAGCCCCTAGAGAATAGATAATTAGGTCTGACAGGAAACAGGGGAACTCTGGTGCCTCGGATTAAGAGATTCTGGGGAGTATGAAGGCGTGGCTTCCTTGAGGGTATCTGGTGTTCAATTCAACGTCAGTGTTCCAGCTGCCTGACTGAAGAGACCATGGCTTGTGAGGCTTTGCTGCCTGGCTTAGGCCAATTTGAGTACCTACTGACGGTGGTGGGGTTGGTGTACGTGGGGAAGGTGCTGCTGGAGTTGATCTGGTCTCTGGCGTGTGGCTTCAGAGCACATTTTTGGTCCAGGTTGTGGGATAAACGTCTTGTGGAGACCTACGGCAAGTGGGCAGGTAAGAGGCCACTTAACATAAAAAATCCAGGAAGTAGCTTTCTATCTTGGCTGCGTGACTCTATATGACATATGTTGCTCTGTCCCAGTCTCCCTTTATGGATATGTAGTAATTTTAGTGCTTAACTGCTCCTTAGCACAACACGTCTTGTTTCTTAGTTATGTTATACTCGAACTAAAATTATGTATTTTGTTGGTGGGGATTTTTGTCATTTGCCGTCTTGCAGTCCTATGACCTATATGCATTTCGCGCTTATGTAAACGAGTATTATAGTTGTCTACACAATAATAATTGCACTTATGTGCCCCTGTACCTAAATAAACTTTACAAATCATAGGCTTATGGGTGTCCCTCAAGGTGTGCCACCTGGGCCTTTTCTCCCTACCTCCCCGTAGGTTTTCTCTTTATGCCGGTGAAGGCCACTAAATTCAAGGAATTGAAGGTTCCCATCATTTCGCCCTTCCCCAGTGGAAATACGTAAGTCAAGAACCCCCAGTGGAAATAAGTGACTGTTTTTTTTTTTTTTTTTTGGAGGGAGGGGTTATCCTAGGTAATTTACACTATGTATAATAATAATTGTATTTGTGTACCTGTGCCTAAATAAACTTAATTCTTTCCTGAAACCTAATTACCACCTATCTGCTTTATAATCCCAGTGGAAATAAGTCACTTTGTCTGATTTTTTGGGGGTTATCCTAGGTAATTTTTCTATTGCTAGGTATGATAATTGTACTTGTGTGTGGTTTAGCACTTCCTTTTGATTATAATAATAATGTACTTATATGTACCTTTACCTAAACACTTGCTTATGAATATTACAATCCTCCTCTTCATTGGTAACCTGAGTATCACTCAGTAAAGTAAAGCAACTCTTTGTCGATAACTTTAGTTTTCTCTTAAGAAACAGACTCAGCTAGCTAAAATGACATTAACAGTAAAGTGAGCTAAATAAAAAATTTAAAATTGATTATGACATTTAGGGTTTCCAGTCTTTAGGTATATTTCTTAAATACCAGATAACTCAGGATATGCTGTACACCAAGAGGTGTATGTCTACATACATGCACAGTTTACTTTAATCCCCATTTTAGGAATTAGTGTTCTTCACTATGTAGCTGATATGCTTTTACTTTATAATAAATTTAAAAATAATCCAATAACTGAATGGGCTTAGGGCTATCCAATAAAATAATAATTTCCTTACTCCTAGAATTTTCTAATTAGTTTTTGGTATATCTTCTTGGATACTTATATTATCTTCGACTCCGACTCCAGCCCAATATAATAAACATTTATACATGCAAGGGGATCGGATATCCAACAGGCGAGTGTGGAGGCAATTATTTTTTTCGAATGTAGCTTTAGAGCAAGCAAAGTAACATTTATGAAGGGATTCAGAGAAACCAGTTACAGTGGAACCTTGGTTTTTGTTTACCCTGGTTTTCGTCGAATTTGGTTTTCGACTACTTTCTTCATCAAAATATTGTCCCAGTTTTCGTTCATCACCTCGGTTTTCGTCTGCTGTACTGAACATGTCTGTCTGTCCGATCCCACACAAAGCATCCAACGCACACATTTCTGAGTCAGTCTGGCTTTTTGTCGAGTGAAAATTACTCTGTGCATTCATATGAAACATTTTGTAATACTCCATTGTTTTTTGTGCTTGTTTATTGAGTGCGACTGCTAAATAAGCCACCATGGGGCCAAAGAAAGTTCCGAGTGCCAGCCCTTTGATAAATAAGGCGAGAAACACGATAAAATTCAATGGTGGTAGAGGGTGGTAGTGATGGTGGTAGAGGGTGGTGGTGATGGTGGTAGAGGTTGGTAGTGATGGTGGTAGAGATACCCTCTCCTCCCTCTCCCTTCCTCACCGTCTTCCATACGCCACGCCGGGTCGCCATCTGGAGAAGACCCGGGCCGGAAGTACCGGCAAACCATAAATGAATGAATCCATACGCCAACAAGAGTCTTCAATAAAGGTAAAAGTGATTTAAATGTTCATTTATCCATTTCATTAGTGCTTTATATTTATTTCTCATTGTTTTTTGTATGTAAACTATAGTTATTCTCAAAATGTATTTTTTGTTAATATTTTGGGTGTCAGGAATGGATTAATTGGATTTACATAATTTCTTATGAGAAATATTGCTTCAGTTTTTGTCAGATTCTCTGGAACAAATTAAAGACAAAAACCCAAGTTCCACTGTAGCTGGACTTTAATCCTGAAGGTGAGAAGTACTGTGCTTGCACTATGAAGAAGTGATAAAGTTGGTAGAATTACCGACAATATGTAAAGTAAAAGGACACAAGTGCAACTAATGTGACATTTTATTGTGGCAACGTTTTGCTCTCCAGGAGCTTTATCAAGCCATTACAAACAATACATGGACACAGAGGGTATATAAAGGCTCAGCGTGAGGTGCAGTACTAGTGAGGTACCATTTCAATGTTCACTAGTGGTGGTGGTGGTGGTAGTAGTAGTAGTAGTAGTAGTAGTGACAAAAGTAATACAATATGGTAGAGCAATTAATTTGTACATGAGTTAAAGGATATAAAAGCTATTACTTGGGTAACATAAAAATAGTTTGGACAAATATAGAGTGGTAAGAGGCAGCTTGTTTCAGTGTTCACTCTCTGTAATGTGCTTTGTGTAGTATAATAGGAGAGACTATGTGATGGCAGGGTTTACTGTTTTCAGGAGGATTCTTGCTAAGACTTCGGAGATGGTGAAGCTGCCGTTGTTTTGTTTAATTGTATTCGAAACGGCGATCAGTGCTGATTCGAGGCACTTGCGTCTGCGGAAATTAGTTTCTTTGATCACTAATTGGGCGTCTCTGAATTTCATGAGATGATTGGTGGAATTTCGGTGTTGTACACAGCCGTTGTTCAAGTTATCGCTCCTATATGCGTAAATGTGTTCATTGAGGCGGGTGTCGAGGTTTCTTGCTGTTTCACCTACGTAAATCTTGTCACAGCCTCCACAGGGTATAGTGTAAACTCCTGCATTGACTGGTTCGTGGTGCTTGGATTTTGTCCTGGTTAGATCCTTTATTGAAGTGCTAGAAGCGATGGCGACTCTGGTGTTAGCTTGTGAAAGTACTTTTGAGACGTTCAGTGCAACCTGGCTGTTGGGAAGAATTATAACTTTGTTGGGAGTGGTGTTGATGCGTGGAGAATTAATGATCTGAAGAGCTCTTTTCTTGCAGTCTTTGATGGAAAAAAGAAGGAAAATGTAACTCTGTGAATGTTTGGTGAATGTATGTACATTCCTCGTCAAGAAACTCAGGACTACAAATTCGGTATGCTCTTATGAAAAACCCTATGATGATGCCTCTTTTGGTCTTGATATCTTGACTGGAATAGAAGTGTGTGAGATAATTTTTATTGGTGGGTTTCCGATAAACTTGAAATCTTAGGTTGTTGTCTACTTTGTGAATGAGGACGTCGAGGAAAGGTAGCTTGTCATTGGACTCTTCTTCTAGTGTAAACTGGATCGCCGGTTCAACTGCGTTGAGCCTTGCCTGAAGATTCCGTACATCAAAACGTTTGGGAGTTATTACGAGGACGTCGTCCACGTAACGTAACCAAGTGACGCTTGAAGGGATGATGTTGGCGAAGTGTTTGGACTCTAGGTGTTCCATGTATAAGTTGGCTAGGACGGCACTGATGGGGGACCCCATTCCCATGCCGTAGGTTTGTTTGTAGAGCTTGTTATGAAAGAAAAACAGTTGAAATTAACAGAGTTCAATCAAGTCGACAAAATCTCCGGGAGGTAGAGGAAGATTAAGTTAAGGTCCTGATTGACTTTACGTCGTAGAACCTCGATGGCTTTTTTGGTAGATACTTTTGTGAAGAGGGAAGTCACATCCAAACTGCTTAGTTTCTTGTTACGGATGGAGAGGTTACAGATGCGGTTGAGAAGGTCGCCTGAGTGTTTAAGATGAGAGGGGCTGATGGTCCCCAGAAGGCAGGAAAGATGTTTGGCAAGAACTCCGGCTAGTTTGTGTGGAGCACTGCCTATTCCTGACGTGATTGGTCTGAGAGGAATATTGTGTTTATGGGTCTTTGGTAAACCATACATGTGTGCTGGTTTAGGGTTGCTTGGTAACAAGTATAGAAGTTTCTTCCCTTCTCTAGTGCGTTTGAGTATTTGTCTGGTTTTGTATAGAAAATCTTTGGTGAGCGTCTCCCACTGTTGAGTGCTGATGGGTTCGTATATAGATTGATCATTCAAAAAGTCCATCATTATCGTCACCACTGCCGACAAAGGAGGAGGAGTCATCATACTCAACACCAGTGACTACAACACATGGACGACGTCCTCGTAATAACTCCCAAACGTTTTGATGTACGGAATCTTCAGGCAAGGCTCAACGCAGTTGAACCGGTGATCCAGTTTACACTAGAAGAAGAGTCCAATGACAAGCTACCTTTCCTCGACCTCCTCGTTCACAAAGTAGACAACAACCTAAGATTTCAAGTTTATCGGAAACCCACCAATAAAAATGATCTCACGCACTTCTATTCCAGTCAAGATATCAAGACCAAAAGAGGCATCAACATAGGGTTTTTCATAAGAGCATACCGAATTTGTAGTCCTGAGTTTCTTGACGAGGAATGTACATACATTCACCAAACATTCACAGAGTTACATTTTCCTTCTTTTTTCATCAAAGACTGCAAGAAAAGAGCTCTTCAGATCATTAATTCTCCATGCATCAACACCACTCCCAACAAAGTTATAATTCTTCCCAACAGCCAGGTTGCACTGAACGTCTCAAAAGTACTTTCACAAGCTAACACCAGAGTCGCCATTGCTTCTAGCACTTCAATAAAGGATCTAACCAGGACAAAATACAAGCACCACAAACCAGTCAATGCAGGAGTTTACACTATACCCTGTGGAGGCTGTGACAAGATTTACGTAGGTGAAACAGCAAGAAACCTCGACACCCGCCTCAATGAACACATTTACGCATGTAGGAGCGATAACTTGAACA